ATTTTCCTTCTCAACTACAGGATGTCTTTCACCTAACAATTTGCTGGTGAAGGCAATTCGAATAGGCTTAACGCTGGGATTAAAGTAGATTTCTGATTTCAAAGATAATTTTTTTAATATTTACCCAGCTATTTTCTGATTATATTTTAAAGACATAATTTTTTCTCTCACAGATTTATTGTTTCATATAATAAATCTATTAAATAAAATCGTTTTTTGCACTACTTATTTCGAAATAAAACACGTGAAAATTTTTTTGATCCAAATTTTTTGCGTATTCTTGGTCATATATGTTTAGTATGATTATCGTTTTATTTTTAGTAAATATAATTTCAGCTACTTTATATTTTCAACATATTTAGTAAAAAAATGCCCCCATTTTTTAATAAAATCTTGCAATTTTTTCTTTAAAAAAAGAAGAAAAAATATGTGAGTTTAAGAAGAGATCGATACATAATGAATGAATCAGATTATTAAAATAACTATATCGCTTATAATATAAAGAAGAATTGCAATAATTTATATACGTATTTTTCATCTACCGTTCAACTTTCTGCCAATTTTCATATCTTTTTTTTTTATGTTACTGTTTATATTGAAAAAAAAAACTTACATTTAAATATAATAACACAAAAAGATATTTTCACTCTTACATCTATAAAACCGAAATAAACAAAATTGATTTTTTTTTTTTTAAGTTATGAGATATTATAGGAACGAAATTTTCCACGATCAACGTTAAAAAATTTCCAAAATCACAATTCTAAATTTCTTGTTCAAAAAAAACTTAAGCAGAGTTTTTGGCTCCGCTGAGAAATTCTTTATTAAATATTAGCTTAATTATTCTAAAGATATTCATTCATATTCATTTTATTTTTAAACTAACGTTATGTGACTTTATTCATATAATATATTGTATAATCCTGATGAATTTTTATTCTTCTTAAAAAATATTTCAATGAATTTATCGAGCGTGGCAAAAAGATAAATTATTTCGAATGACTTTTACATAATTAATTTGCTACATTGCAAATCACATGAAAATCCGGCGTCAATTAGAAAAACAATTGAGAGCATTTTATAATTAAAAATTCGTTCAATGAAAACATTCTAAAGTTATTTGCCTCACATTAAACTACTACCACAAATTTGTAATTAAAAACAGCGAATAATCCTTGTGCCTATAGACCGACAGCAAAGAAATTAAATAACTAAAAAATTCTAACATGAAAGATTTAAATAAAAGACAAAGATCGACGTCTTAGCACCCTTGTCTTTTGAGTTAGGTTCAATTTAAGAGAGTAATAAAAAGACCGGAATATGAAGAATGGAAGCTTTTTCAATATAATCGTTTTTGAATTATTATAAATTTGCTGATAAATTTTATTTATTTTCCTAATTTTTCGATTCAACTTTTGAAAATGCGAAAATTTTCATTTAAATATTTCAAGACAACAAGATGTTTTTATTTATTTATTTTTTATATTTTTATTTTGCTCTTATAACTATAATTTCAAAATATACTCATTTTTTTAATTTTCATGTTATTTTAGAAATAAAATTTGTTAAGATTAGCATAAAATTTTTTCTAAAATCACATTTTTTTTTTGTATTAAAAAAATGCTTGACTAAAAGCAAAGTTTTTATTTATTTCAGAAATTGTTGCTTGATATTTGAACTTTTAAAAGAACTTATTGTTAGTAAAATGGTAAATTACAAATTTTAGGAAGAAAAAAAGAACTTCAGCATAATTTTTTTCTCTGTGGTGAGATTTTTTTTAAATATTAGTTAAGTATTTCTATAGTTATTTTGTTATATTTATTGGTTTATTATTAAACTAGCGTTTTTTGACTTTGTTCAAATAATATCTTATTATCCTCATTTGATGCAATTAATTCTAATTCAAAAAGCCTCTTACAAATTTAAGCGATACGTGAAAAAAAAAAGTTTTTCCAAATGACTTTTTTATAATTTATTAACATACGCAACAGTAAATGATGAGACTGGTTATATTTTTTTTCGCAAACTATTAGTTGTTGTTGTTGTTAATTTACGTCGCACTAGAGCTGCACAATGGGCTATTGGCGACGGTCTGGGAAACATCCCGGAGGATGATCCGAAGACATGCCATCACAATTTTGATCCTCTGCGGAGGGGATGGCACCCCCCGCTTCGGTAGCCCGACGACCTGCGTGCGAAGTCGAGCACTTTACGGTAGCACAGTTTAACGAGGACCAATACCGCACACCCTCGGTCCCTACGCAGACTGATCCCAGTGGTCACCCACTCGCACACTGACCGTAGCCAGTGATGCTTGTAGTAAATATAGTTATAAGTGAATCGTTTCATTTGCGAGTTCAGACGTCCTTCTCTGTATAGGCAATCGCAGAGCTCGAACACGCCATTTAGGGTTCCCCTTCCCACTCCTCCTCTTCTTAGAAATATAGGAATGTACTACGATATTTTTCCTCTTCTTAAAAATTTTTCATAATTAATTGTAAAAAATATTTATTTTTAAGTTTCCATGACACTTTCTTTCAGAACTACGTATATTTAATGTAGTTTTCAGTTCCATGTAGTTTCCTCTCTTAGACTTAGACTGAGTTTGATTACGGAGTACCTGTCCGCGACGCGGATACTTGTGCCGTGGCGACCGTGGGCTCCTGGAATAATGACGATAAAGATAAAAAAAATATCAAGTCCTTGTTGGGATGTGGCGTGAGTTGTGGAAGTAACATCATTCTGTAGGGGATGACCCCTGGATAAGAGATTGAAGTAAGCTGACTACTTCTTGGTTTTTTAGGATCTCCTGTAGTTCTTTTACTATTGAGACAAGTCGATGAGCTGTGGTAGCAGACGTATCCTTAGGCTGATGTCTCTTTCTACTGGGGCGGGCCTCGCACCCAGAGAAATTTGAAGTATGGGCTTGTTGCAGTTGCAGCATGTGGCTGGAGAATCTTTGCTCTTTTTGCGCTGGAATGAATAGTGCCCTTCGGCACATTTCATGCATCTTGGTTCGGATGTGCAGGTTCGCTGTGAATGTCAGAATCGTTGGCATCGGAAACACTACTGTACCGGCCGCCTCTAAATTTCTCCACACTGTTCTTAATGAATACTCCTTAATGAATTCGATGTGGTAGATTTGCATGTAGTTTGCTATCTCTGGTAGGATGATGAGAAAAGTGGGAGTGGCCTATAGGCTCCTCCCACTCTCTTCCTGAACTGAACAACTTTCAGGATTTTTAGATTCTGTTACCCTAATTCTAGGGAGTCCCGCAGTGGACTGATCGTTAAGACACGGTTCCCAGCAGATCACCGAAGTCAAGCATCACTGGCTGCGGTCAGTGTGCGAGTGGGTGACCACATGGATCAGTCTGCGTAGGGACCGAGGGTGTGCGGTATTGGTCCTCGTTAAACTGTTCTACCGTAAAGTGCTCAACTTCGCGTGCAGGTCGTCGGGCTACCGAAGCGGGAGTGCCATCCCCTCTGCAGAGGATCAAAATTGTGATGGCATGTCTTCGGATCATCCCCAGGGATGTTTCCCAGACCGTCGCCAATAGCCCATTGTGCAGCTCTAGTGCGATGCAAATGAACAAGGGTGCTCATTTGCGTCGGGTATGCGGTAAGTCCCGTAGTGGACTGATCGTTAAGACACGTTTTCCAGCAGATCACCGAAGTCAAGCATCACTAGCTGCCGTCAGTGTGCGGGTGGGTGACCACATGGATCAGTCTGCGTAGGGACCGAGGGTGTGCGGTATTGGTGTGATTAACTACCATAAAGTGCTCGACTTCGCGTGCAGGTCGTCAGGCTACCGAAGCGGGGGTGCCATCCCCTCTGCAGAGGATCAAAATTTTGATGGCATGTCTTCGGATCATCCTCAGGGATGTTTCCCAGACCGTCGCCAATAGCCCATTGTGCAGTTCTAGTGTGACGTAAATGAACTATAATAATAGTAATGATAATAATTTTTTTTTTTTTAATGGCGGGCACTTGGAGCTATTGTCCATTGGCCACAGAAAGTGCCAGAACTGCTAATTCACTTTTCGTTACCCAGTGGGCACCTGTGGCGAAGCCACGGCGGTGGAACAGCGTCGCCAATAGCCCATTGTGCAGCTCTAGTGCGATGCAAATGAACAAGAAGAAGATGTTCCTTTGGTAAAGGCTTATAAGCCTAAATTAAGCACACAAGACTTAAGCGCACAACTTTCCTGAATGCCAAAAATTACGCAAACTGCCATATGGTAACAAGATATAGAAGTTAATTAAAAAGAGTTTAAAAAACTAAAGTAATTTGAAATCTACAACTGCGATCTTAAAGGAAGAAGATGGAACAAGACGAGGAAGTGAATAACCTCGAATTGAAGTATTACAACAAAGGATATTTATTTATAAAAGTTCCTAAAAGGCACATTGGTTTAGATACTGTTCCAGCTGATGGACATGAGTTCATTTACAAATCTAAACTTGAAAATGCACAGTTAAAGTATAGCAGCTTTTATAAAAAGGATCTGTTTGCAGAAGTTCTGAAAATACCTCGTTCGCAGCTTAAGAATGCTGAAATCGAATTTGCATATGTTACCAAACTCATGAAAGAGAAGCGACAATTGTTCAAGTTTGTTTTCCCGCAATCAGCTGTTATTCCCATGAATAATGAAGTAGAAAGTTGCTTCTTTTGTCTTGGATCACAGAAATGTATGGAAATTTATGGTTTTGCTTCACCGACATATGTTGAAGCTCACATGCCATTGATAAGCATTATGGCTTATCTGAAGCAAGTCGAAATAAAGAAACTCATAAGATATACTTTTAATTGGTATAGGGCCATTGGAATGGACAATCAGATTGCTAAATGGCTATTTGCCCTTCTTGCTTGTCTGAATAAACCGCTTTCCGAAAGACAGGAGATATTTCTAAGGGAATATTATGATGAATTAAAGATCAGAGTCCAGGAATTAGAAGGTCAACTATATGTAAGAGTTCGCACTTTGATGGCATTGTTGGAAAATCGATTTGATTTGAAACTTGACAGTGAGGCCATTGCAACCTTGCAAAGTTTCAGGTCACTTGCCATTGGTAATTAAAGTGATTCTTCTGAGACAGATCAAAATTATTAAACTCTTAAAATATACTTTTAAGTTGTATACTCCATTGGATTGGAAGAGCTGATTGCTGATTGCAAAATGGGTATTTGCTTTTATTATGCACCTTAGTAAACCTGTTCCTGACTAGCAGGAGACATTTCTTTTCATTTTTATATTTCGTTGCATTATTGTTTTATATTTCATTGCATTATTGCCTTCATCAAATAAATTTTACGTTTCTCAACATTTTTCTTTTCTTTCTCTATTAAAATAGACAAAGATTTAGGTTTTAAAATTTTGCTAAATATTTGTGATCTTGACGTAATTTGTATAATATTTTAAAAACATTGTACAGTAGGGAACCGATTATTCGGAACGATCGGGACCATCGCTATTCCGGATAACTGATTTTTCCGGTTTTCTGAATCGCTACAAAAAGCCGTTTTTTTATTGTCAAACTCAACTTAAAAAAAAAAAATTTGGAAATAATCTTAAAAAGAAGAAAAAACAATGAAGTAATACTTCCAATGATGGTAAGTTAACATTTTTCAAAAAGGAAAGAAAAATCCTGAAATCTTATTAGGAAGAAAAAATTTTTTAAGAAAAATGGCGGGAAAATTTATCGAATTTCGCTCCGGTTTTTCGGTTTTCTGATTTCCGAATAACTGGTTCTGTACTGCATTTAGTTTTTCCTTGAAGAGCATGGAGCTTTTTTTTCCTTTCCATTTAAAAAAATTTATTTTTAGTGATTTTTTTTTCGTTGCTAAATGACAAAGTAAAAGTTGTTGACTTACTGAAAAATTCTGTTTAAATTTGAAAGATCTGTTTCTCTCTCAAAATATTTTTTTTAGCTTCCTTCATTATTATTTATTTATTCTAATTTAAAAATACTCTGAATTAAAAGTTAGAGTAGGATCAAAAAAAATTTGAAATTGTAAACTGAAGTTATTTGTATTTTTTTTTTAAATCTTATAGATACAAAGCAAACATAAAGGAAATATTTCTTTATTTGTTCAAAATTTGGAGCAAAAATATGTAGAAGCTTGCCCGGCTGGGCTACAAGCTGTACCCATTAAATTGGTTCCTTTTTGTGATGTTTTTTTTTCTTTTAGTCTCACAGTTATTACTCACAGTTTTTTTTACTTAAGTTTATATAAATTGGTCAAATGATCAATACAGAAAAGGTAGAAGATTTCCATATCAGTTCCTGCATCAAAATAATTGCCAAGTTTGGACAAGTTATGAGAAAGTAAGAATTAATAATCAAAAAATAACATCACAGAAAAGAACCAATTAGAAAGCTATAACTCATACCCACCTTTAGGCAAACATCTACATACAATTTTTAAATCAATTTTAGAAATTTAAAAACCTTTTAAGGCCTTTGAAAATTGTTGTTGGCCTGAATTGATACATAATATCTCTAGTAAATGCTGATTAAGAATTATTCTTATTCAGAAATTATTCTAAAAAAGAATCCATAATCAAATGAAAAACAATTATTTTGTACCAAGGAAATACTTCACTCTTAAAGTCACGAGAAGTAAGTAAACATTAACCTACATAAGATATGCATCTTTCTAAATGACATTCATCTTGACATCTTAATATTACAAGCCATTATTTGTTTTATATTTTGCAGTCATTCTACTCTCACAATTTCTAATCATTGAATGTCAAATTTCTTTACTATAGATTGCCAGAGCTGTCGCTAAACTTTAGGAGGCCAATAAATATTTTATTTATATTTTAGAAAACATGTTTCTGAACATTTATGCAACCACATAAATTTCAGTTTTTTTTTTCAAAACTTCATTAGCAGGTCTGTTTTTTTGAATAGAAATTAAGTCAACAACATGTTATTAATATATCTTTTAAATGTTAAGTGATAAGCATTTATAGCCATTCAAAATGTAAGTGCAAAACTTTTTATATTGATATCTACAACGGCTTCTGGACAGTAGCCCCACAAATAACTTGGAAAAAAAGGAAATGTCACAGGAGAGGACTAATGAGAAGCTATCTTCAGGCAAATCTCCACCCATTTTTAAAAAAAAAAATTTGAATTTAAAATCCTTTTGGAGGTTTGGCAATTATAGTTAGCATAATTAGGTACCGATGTGGAAATATTTATAATTAATTTATCCAAATAAAATGAAGTTTGAGATTGATTTTTCTTTTCAATTGAAGTTATTGATATAATCATGTCTTTTCATTGCTCAGTGAGGTAATATGAGCTAAACTATGCAAGGAATTATTTGTATGTAAACCTAATTATGAATACTTTTAGTGAAACCAAGTTAACCAACTCTTTTAAGTCGTATAAACTTTATTATAATTGCAAGAAAATTTGCAGTAAATATTAGTTCTTATTCATGCCATATTATATCCTTACCCGACTTTCCCCTAGACGAATTTTTTGTTGTCTTTATATTTGATCCTCTTGACATTTTATTGAGATTTTTTGATTTAAAGCAATTATTAGTCATAAAAAAATATATAAGTCACGGAGGGAAACTTGACTATACAGATTTTGCCGCTACTGTCAAGACCTTAAGAAGTTATTATTGATAAGTTTTCCTCACTTAAATATTAATATTTACCTTTATATTTACAATCTACTCTGCCATTATTTAAAAGATTTCAGGCTTAAAAGATTTTTATTGATAAAGTTTAATTTTGGATCAATTTGTAGCTAATTATTGCTGATGCCTTTTGTAAATTGGAAAAGAAAAATTTCAGTCACAAAACCATTCACAGCAGAAGATAGAGGTAAGTAGTTCTGATAAAAATATTTCCATATTGGCACCTGTTCTCACCAACTGAAATCGCCAGGGTACCAAATTAGACTTTCTAGTTCTTGTGCTAATACTAACCTCTCACTATTACTTATGTTGGACTTGGAAAAGACTCTATCTGTTGTCTTAGGTTTCCAATTCATTATTGTTTAGTTCTTGAGATCTCACTCCTGTTTCTCTGTGGTTTTGCTTATGATCAAAAGGTGTACTTCTTAACTTAGATGAAATAAGCAATAAAAATGAAATGAGCTGTAGATTTATATATATATACAGTCAAACCTCGTTAATTTGACACTCTCGGGACCTCTGAAAAATTGACGAATTAAGCGGAGTGACGAATAAACCGGAGTTGTGTTGTTTTTCATAAAATTGGGAAAATACCAATAAATTAACAATTATTACATAAAGCAGCAAAATTTCAATTTCTTAAAATAAAAAAAACTTGGAAGAATTTGCATTAAAACAATTCAATTAAAACATAGCATCAGTAGAAAGACAAACAGTATGGTTTACATACTTGTCCGAATTCCGTTACCCCCTTGTAAGGTCAGAGATAAGGAGCATTATTGCAACTCTTTCTGCAAGAGGTTATGGAAGGAGGGGTGAGACAAAAGGGCTGGGGAAAAACGCTTCCAGTATCCGAATTCCAAGAACCAGTTGCCTAGTGCGAATGGCAAAATTAGCCAAGTGGAAATTTCCGCAAAAGTTGACTGGAGAAAAGCAATTTCCCAGTGAAAACATTCCTTAAAGTGTCATTTTATCCGGAGTTCATAATTTCCCCATGACGTATTAAACGGAGTTTGTTAACACTGAATTCAATGCAAATCAATCAGGACTTGAAAAATAGTGTCGAAATAACCGGAGTGACGAATTAAGCGAGTGTCAAATTATCGAGGTCCGACTGTATATATATATATAAGAATATCCTGATTAGTAATAGTATGCTCATTTTGATCATAAGTAAATAATGTATGTGGAAGGAATTTTTAAAAAATGTATAGTGGCTTTGAGGGGGCTACAAGTTTATTCCTTGTGATGCTTTGTGTTTAATTTCTCGCACATCACTGCCCAGTTATTGCCACATCTTGGTGGTCGTTTTGGCGCATATTCTGATACATTAATCTTTACCTCTTGAGGTCTGGGAGAGAAGTGGTCCACATGAGTTCAAAATATCAAGCTCAATTTCTTGGTGTAGTTATACATATATCATTGAGACTAAGCACATCTGATCCAGATAGGCGATATCTTAGTAAATGAAAAATTAGCTAAGTAGACTAAAATTTTATTCGTAGTTGTCCAGGATTTGATGAAATTTGTTTTAAGATTTAAATATTCAATGATTGCGAATTCACTTGTAATACTAATGTAATGTCTATAAAAACAACAGAGTTTGAGACATTTGTATAATGTTTTTGACTGCTGTTAAAATCTGCATTACTTTTCCTCTCTTGAACTTCTGCAAATTAGTCTAGGCTTTTTCAGTTTTCAACTTGTTCTCAGCAGATTATTGTGTTATAGAAAAAAAAAATTTAGGTTACTATGCATCATCTTGGAATTGATATCATTAGGTAAGTACCCCAACTAATTCTGGTTACTCTGGGTATAATTTTTTCTGGGATTTCACTCTGGGTATAAAAAATCAATTAAATTTAGTTCAGTCAATTTGGATTTTGGTGGGATTGAATTCAACATTTTACCTAATTTAATTTTAGGAATTCATTAACCAAACAGTAAGTATTCATATTCTTCTTTTCTCACTTTGCCGCCCAGGTGTTTAAAGTTTAAGTAAGTTGAATGTCCACTTTATAAATAAAAGAACCCAGCAATGTTTCCAATATGCATTTCAATTTAAATTATATTATCAAATTTTTTATAATTAAATAATCACTACTGACAAATATATTTGAAGTCGTAGACCATACCCTTCTTGAATTATTCTTAATAAATTCTTATCCAATTTATTTAGAAGATGAACACAGTGGAAAGTCCTGTATGCAGAAGGCAAGTCCAGAAAATGATCCAGAGGGTGGTCTAGGAAATAAAAATCATTAAATGTTTTTAGGTAATGATCTTTCTTGTATCCCAACATTTCCCAATATTAGGAAATTCTCTTTTAATTTTTTGTATACTGGAGCTCCTTCCTCTCAAACCCCTTCACCTGTTTTTTTTTTATCTCCTTTTTTTATTATCTCCTTCAAACATACTCCTCTATTCCTATTAGCTAAACTAAATTTGGGACCTTGTTCTGCAATTAAAAATTGGTTGAATTGTCAGAGCTCATAGGCTATTAGACTAACAAAGTGGATAGTCCAACAACCTGCAGAGGACTACAATTGTGATGGCATGTCTTTGGATAATCCTCAGGGATGTTTCCCAGACCGTCGATAATAGCTGACGTAAATAAAGTTCTACTACTCTATCTCTTTTTTTATTTCAAAAATTTTTTCTTTAACAAATCACTTTAACAATTTTTTAACATGTTTCTAAATAATTTTGCTAATAAAATAATACTTAAATAACTGAAATTTCTTAAATTTTATTTTTTTTTAAATGTTATTGAAGTGAAGAACAGAGTTGTTGTTTTTTTAAACTAACAGTTTACCTCTTCGAATATTCTTCAAATTGCTATGTTTGTTGCAAAAAATTCTGATTATTTTGTTGCTTTATGGCAATTTTTTTATTTATTTATACATAATTTGGTATTAGGACTGGGCGGTATTAGAAATTATATATCGTGATGCATCGTCAGTTTTGCATCGCGATATTGTATTTTTGAATTTCATTTACTTGTAAGGCACAGAAAGTCAGATTTCTATCAAAACTTCATACTCAGATTTCAAAAAGAA